TTATTGTGAAAATTGATGCTAAATTATTTAGATATTTTGTGTATGGTGTATTATTTAGATATTTTGTTCTTTTTGACATATCAAAGATCCATATCCACGACACTCTTATGGCTCAATCCTTTCGGCTTCCAAACCTAGCAAATGATCCACTCAGATACTCACTCCACGCTCGCCAAAACACAAGATTTTCATTAATCGATGATATATTTGTGCCCGAGACTCGATAGATTGGTTCTTCTTTTAGCCTGGTCTGGCAAATGCCTACATTTTGCTTTCATGGCGGCACCAAAATGACCTTTGGTTCCCTAATCTTCCTCTTGTATGGTGGGAAATTAGTTACATGTTTATTGTTGTAGCTGTCGTGGAACTGGAGCCTCCAGATGAAGGGATATTAGAGAGAGTTAAAGATCGGTTGTTCTTGTTATCCCTGAATTATATTTGGGAAAGATCCCTACTGGCTCTACCATGCCTTATACTTCGGAACTTTGGTAAACCGTTAGCTTAGGAGTCTGGTTAATGCATCAATTGACATCTTATTATGCCTTTGAGTTGACTTTGTGTTTCTTTTCAGGTCTAGCAAGGGTATTGGGTGAGGCTTTCCGACGCTCTCAAGGTATCAGAGTTAACTTCTCATTACACTGAAAAGTGTATACCTTTAGGTCACAGGTTGCTTACTCGTCTGCGACTACTACTACTCATGCCTCTCTTTCTATTGCACATTAGATCTGCTTATGTCGCTCAACACCGTTGGTGATGTACTCGAGTGACGAAGCAATGATTTTGCGCCATAGACTGGTTGATATGGAGATGCGATGCTCTCTTGGGTGTAAGCTATTCTGGTCGGGTGTGAGTAATGGTCGTCTTCCAATGCCTTAACTCCATTTGTATGTATGTCACATTTTAGGGCTTTCTTTTGATTACTAAGATAAACTTGTTATTTCTGTAAAGGGTCTAAACACCTTTAACTTCTTTAGAACAACATCGTTCTCTTTATTTTTATAAAAAAGAACTTATTTTTTCGTTTTGTTGTCCAGATCTGAGGGCATGTTTGTAGAGGCCTTGCCATGGTCCGACACATGGCGACAACCTGATTGC